CCCAAACCACCGCAGTAAGAAAAATATATGTATAATTCTTTATGAAAATAAATTTTTATTAACTATTTCGTTATATTCACATTTTAACAAGCCTTACAAATCATAAATATGCCGATTAGCAATATGCCAACGACACGCGCACATACAAAAATGACACAAAAAAACACTCGCTAAAACTTAACGGGCCAATTTTTCAACACCAACAATGTGCTTAATAGCGGCAATAACTTAAATTTGCAACAAATATCAAAAAGCAGCAACAACAGTTATAGTTAACAGTTGGCGGCAGCGTGAGACAGCCAGCTTGACGGCCGCCGAAAAACACATTCATCAATGGATTAGCCTAATTTATGGCGGAGCGCAATTGATGAAGCCATTTAGGAGCTGGATGCTGCTGGGAGCGAGGCGAGAAGGAGGCAGAGGGTAAGTAGGTGTATGGAGAAAAGCCAGCGCGCCGTCAATATGGTTTTTATGCTTGAGTAGAGCGAGGAGCTGGCAAAAAGGCATACGGATACAGGCTGTAAAAATATGCAGAGGCACGAAAGCGGTTTTTGGATGGTGAGAATGAGTGGAAATATATTAAAAGTTTCGTTTGTTGGCTTATTTTGCTATTTTACCTTTGTTGCACAAAAGTTTTAAAGACAAAATATTGCTGGAACATGTATAACAAGCTAAAATATGATAAATGAGCTGTAATGATAGATGGACTATTGTCGCGCCGCGATATTACTAGAGCTGTGTTGAAAACAACTTTGCGCAAAAATATATATGGTATTTTATTCACCTAAATTGAAAAACACTAAATATTCTCACCAAAAACCATTTTTCATATTCTATTTCAGATTTATCCTACTCACTTTCAATAAAAATTAAAAAGTTTATGAATATACTTGTAATGCCTGTGAAAGCTATAAAAAAGCGCTGTAGACAGTTTTATGACGTGGGTATCTGTAAGGAAAAGTAATCACAGTGATAATAACAAAAGCAATTGACACAAAAGCGCGAACGAGCGTTTGAATGACAGTTAAGCAATATAAATCGGCTTTTCGGAGGTATTACACAACAGCGGAGCACTCTGATGCGCTTCTTGTAAGCTCACAGTGATCATATGGGATAGAATTGTACGTAATCATACTTGTACAGTGGTGGTCATGGAATTGAGAACAGATAAGAAATATACGATTGATGGGTGGGATAAAAGTGGAAATTGTTATGGGCCATGTTGTTGTGTAGATAATGTGGTCGTGATGGTAGTCTCTTAACGGAAATGAGTACATGTTCTTTCAGTTTAGATAGGTTCAACAGTATTAAGAATCGTTAATGTCGCATACAAGTAGGCTTTGTTCTACTTCCATCCGAAAAAAAAACTTTTTTGTGAGATTCGAAAATAGAGCAGGATACTTGGGAGTGCCTGGAGGCCATACACAAAGTTTTCTCGCGTCACTGTTGGCAGCTATAATTTTGAAAATGTATGAATACCATCTATAATCTAAGCATGGAGAAAAATAACTCTTGCCAACAAGTTTTACTTTTGGATCCTAGTCAATTGAGAAGCAGATCCCTCTCTCGACGAACAAAATTACGCTCTATAAGTCTATTATGATTCCCGTCCTATAATACGACGCGGAAACATGGACGATGACGAACCGAGTAGAGAAAGTACTTAGAGCATTCGAGAGAATTGTTCTCCTCAAGATTTTTGGATCCCTCCGCCTAAGCGATGAGTACCAAAAAAAAAATGGAAGCACGGACTGCATGAGCTCAACGGTGCCATGGATATATTTAAGCGCACAAAAGTGCAACGAATGTGCTGGTTACGCCATGTCGTACACATGACGATGCTTCGGCGAAAAGCTTGAGACCCATGCGTGCACAACGCCTCAATTAGAAGGAATACATTTGTATTTAAGCACTTCGGTTTTATAACCCAGCTTTTAGGCTTACACTCATGGATTTCATAGGCTTCGAAAGAGAACACCAAATCTTTGTCAAATATAGACTTTAGGACGAGGTCATAGAAAATTCGCCACTGAGCAGTTTTTCGGAGCAGGAATTTTCTAGCAACTCATTTCCGAGCAAGCATCTCCAGGGTTTAACATAGGGGTCAATTATTCTAAATTTTAAAATATTGTATAAATATTGACGACCTCACTAATGCCAAATGTAGATGTGTCTATTTCAATAACCTCAACTGTATTTGCTTCAATATAAAGAAATTCCACACAATTTCCTTATCTCAATGACTTCTAAGCCCTGACTGTTTTCATTTCCCTTGCATTATTTTCAATATTTTATTTATTTCGGTTAGAAACACATACATACCTATATCTACCGAGCACCACAGCGCTTATGCTACCAACAACGAAAATTAGGCCACAACCCAAAGCATTAATAACAATAACAATAACAACAATAACTTTGATTACAAAAAAGCCAATACACAATATATCTTCCCTAAGACACTTCCAATATAAAAGTGTCACACAATTGAGTTGTAAGTACGTAGCAACTCTAACGGCAAAGTGGATTGAAGAGGAAGCTTAAGAGGTGATGTAGAGCAAATAAATACAAAAAGGAAATATTTACATGTGTATATAGATTTTCGTGTCACGCCGCTAAGCAATTGTATCGCGGTGGCGTGTAGACAAATTTGCCACACGAAGTACTCCAGAATACGTTGCGAAAGGCGATTTGGTAGTGATGTCAACGAAAGCGCAAAATAAAAGTGGCACATGCACGTATCATATAATATATTATTTTATATATTATATATCTATAGTAGCTACAGTCAACAAAGACACGATAAAATAAAAGTTATCGCGAAAAGGTAAAATACTTTTTCTCCTTCATTGCATTGACTTGTCATGCCACAAGATGTGGCAGAAAACGAATCAGGTGGAAAATACGATGAAAGTGGCAGAATGCTGCTGAAATGAATGCATAAACTGTCCTGGTGACTACAGTGATGTCAGCTATATGGTTCAATTTGGTTGTGAAGTAGTCGGCGAGCGAAGTAACTAATGAGAGCTATAAGCGACCAAAATATTGACAGCACTTGCGCTTGTTTACACTTAAGACATTTATTTATATAACTCGCTAAAGTTTACGACTCTTTTTTTCATATTACATATCTTAAGAGCTTGCGTCTGGTTTCTTCCCTTTGAGCCTTAAAACTGTTCGAAGGGCTTTTTAAGTTTTCTAACATATCTCGAAAGTTTATTGAATGAGAGCTTTAAGTTTAAACGGATAGCACTGGGATAGATTCGGCTACAATATCCCTAAGAATAATATATAGTACCTTGTTAATTTTTCTTTTATGTCAATGAAACCTTCAGGAAGATTCCACTTCCATCTTCAATCTTGAAGGAACCTGAACAGCTCGTAACCACTCGAACCATATCTGCTCGGGATCCAAAGATTTATTTACTGTCAGCATAAAAATGCTTTTGCACAAATATTTTTCAAGCCACTCTGGTACTACGTGACGTATAAGCTACTTGCTACACACCCGCATTGCCACTAGACACAGCTGTGTCAAACAATTTGGTGTGAATTTTTTGCACTCGCACGAACTTTCGTGGACAAATGTTGGTAGTCGACAGCTATAAGAATGTCAACAAATAATAACAAGAATACATGTAATGATTGCAAAAAGTATGAGAAAAAAAAGTGGCAGTGGATAATGGTATATATTTCAGTCTGATCGTCTTTGTGACACAATTTTTCAACTAAATAACTTTATTACGTATTACAACGTGATTGCGGCATATACGCAAGGATGAAAAATATTTACGGCTTATTTTCAAGTAAAATATTATTTCCAGATAGTTTGGGCGCTATTAAGTACTGATGTAGTCGCTTCCTGAGACTGGTTCGTTTCAAAATAATATTTCCAGTTACTACTGTCATATGGTACTTCCGATCGAAAATCGTATAGTACTGATCCTAAATCTTTGACTCGTCATCAAATTTCACAATATAATATTTCGCATACCATTTTGTTGCGAGTATTTTACAAAAAGCTGGTCTGTTGTGTGGCATATGCAATAATCCATATTTTGTTTTGACGATTTCAAAGAGTCGGATCATCTTGCTACTACGCTTGGAAATATTTATGTTATTTTATTTTATACTGTGAAGGACCGATGTTTTTCAAACTTTAGAATCAAACCAAGCAATGGACCTCTTCACCAATGTAAGGTTTCCAATGACTATAAGATAAGAGAAGGAAACTATATAAAATCGTACTACTTTTGTGCTTCTAGCGCTGATGAGCTGGATCGCTGAGGATGGAATTTCTCTGAATATAGTGTAATAGAGTCAGATATAGAGGAATTATGGTTTCGCCTTTAAATATAAAATTGTCATTTTGACATCAAACTAAGTTAACATTAATATTGACCTAACTTTATACGCTTTCCGACTAAAAGAATACCACTTAATTTGAATCTCACTACTATATTGGTTGTAATATCAATTTCGAAACATATTGAGAGGCAACCGGGTTATGACACAAAAGCCTGAAGACGAAAACTCTAAAAGGCGCTGAGTGGAAATAGCGACAGCTAGCAAAAACTTTTTCTCGGCAATTTCCCAAAAGTGACACAAAAAACGGTGAGCGTTTACCGAAATGCATGTTTCTAGGTTTGACAAAATGCTAAGTATGGATAAAAAAAACTTCATATTGCCTTATAGAGACAAAGAAAATCGGTTGTTATATTTGTCTATATACAACCAGTTAAAATTCTGACCAAAACTGTGTACATTGCTTCGATAAGACGTGGTATCGGAAATCATCTGATCATCTTGTGACATTTTCTATTGCTAGAACTTCATCTAGAGTTGGAAGCAACTTTAGTTAATCTAACTTCTGGTGTTTAATAATGACACCCATCCCTGTAGACTGAACTTCTACTTGAAGATTTTCTAGGTTAAAGAACATTTTTGTAGAACTATAAAAAGAAAGTCAGCAATATAATTAAAAAAAAAATATTTTATTAAAAATTCTTAAATTTGAATATGTCATAATATTTATATAAAAAAGTAGAAGCTATGATAATTCTTCGAAAAAAAGTTTAAAAGACTTGTTTTAATAATTAATTTGATTTAGAGACAGAACTGGTACTACTGCAGGCACGACGACTTACTTAGGTCGTCCATAATAGCTGACAACAACTTCACATTTTTTATCACGAAGGCAAAAAGTGCTAGCGACACTTTTAGACGGCCCAGTCGACCTCAGCGTTCGCGTGTGTCACAGCCACTGGACGTTGTTAAGCTTTCTGAGCTACAGTAGCGCTGGCGTCTGTCAAAATTGATCCATAACCGCGTGCTCTTAAAGTTTGTTTGATAATTTGTTGCTTGACATCTGGACTGAGTAAACGTGGCACTTTCACTTTCACCGCTTCTACGACGGGTGGATTGACGACACCGACACCGGCTAAGTTCAGCGTAGTTTGTCCTTTGGCCGGCACAAGGACGCGATATTCCTCCTCACTGGAATCGTTCGAATTGGAGATGATGTATGGCAAGTTCACGGCGTGTGCGCAGGCGAATGCTGTGGGAAGAGCGTGTAAAGTGATATTAGTGATTTGTTAAGGGTGTTCAAAGTGCTGTTACTCACCGGCAACGAAGATCACTAGGAATTTCATGTTGTTCTGTCTGTTTGCTTGGATTGGTTGTGTCTTCTGCGCTGAAAATGTGTGATCTTATATACCAAAATTAAGTGTAGACCGACACACCTTGCCACATTCGGAGACTTGAACAAAAAAATAAAAATATTTTTAGTAATTATTAAATTATTTACTGTTAAAAATACATACATACATACAGTGAAAGTTCAATAAGTTTACTCGAGGTGAAAATATTCTGTGTGGCGTGTGTAAAACCCTTTACCGCACTGCTTTCGTCCAATTGGCAATACTTGCAATTTTTGTGCCGTTTAATCACTTATAAATATATACTTGTACATATCTACATACACACCTACCTGCTGTAGAGATTATCATCAGTTAATGTTGTTTTTTTTTGCACATTGAAAGCGCCTTATAAGCTTAGCTCGCTTGATTACATCACTTGTTCCGCTTGTCTGGTTTTATATAGCCCTTTTTTATGACACCTTCTGTATTATGTAACTTAAATATATTTTTCATTTATTTGTTTAATTTTCGAAATGTAAGTATTTAAAAAAAAATTGTTTTTTGTGTTTATAATTATTTTTTTTTCTTTTGCTAAGTCCTCATTCTAAGCTGGCTTCTGAAAACATTTTAACTTTTTTGGAGGACTGTGTTTGACGACATCTGTTCTATCTGTAAATAAAAAAAAATCTCGTTCGATCGTCGTTGAAGTGTTCGATTTTTTGTAGTATTCTCGATTATCCCCAAGAGATATGGAGTCACCTCATGTCACACACCAGTTTAACCTCTAATGCAAGGTTAGCAGCCATCATTTATTTCAAATAGAGGATTTACAATGTATAATATTTTAGAATGCTTTTTGCCGGGCTAGTCCAAGGTGGAATCATCTAGGCACGAGACTGAGATTGGAATATCTCGGTAGACACACCTTTTGCGAAGCTAGCGAAGTGCATGGGATTGATATTAATCGCCTCAACAAATTCATGTTCAGCTCAAAACGCTTCGCCGATCTATGAGGAACTAGTTATCCATTTTTAGAAATTTTTAACCAACTTAAAATTACATAAATTACTATTTATTGTAATAAATACGTACTTTTATTTTATGACCTTGCAAAGTAGAACATATTCGAGTTGGAGACATATGCTCAAAACCAATTTGCTCAACAAGCTTTATAAATAAATTCTACGAAACGACTTAATTATGTATGAATATTAACCTTATAAAGCGCTTATTTGAACTTTGCACTAGTATATTTTTGGAAGCATATTTCACTTGAAGAACATAAAAAAGCATAATAGCCACATTACATACCACATTTCACATATATACAACGGATATATATATATCCGTAACATAACATAAATTTTACCCCTCCGTATTGGTTGTAGCATTAAAATGATAAACTGCCGAAGTTTTGCTTTTTAATGCATTTCTGGCATGTAAAACGGTAATCGCCGATAAGCAACTAAATGCGGAAATATAAAAAACATAAATGCCTTCACTCAAGTGCTTTATAAGTAACTTCGTTATTAGCACGATGGCTATAATTTTGCTATGTAAAGTGTTGAATTGGCTTCGGCGTAGTGGAGTTAAAATGGCGTGAAAACATGCACAAACAAAATATTATTGTAGTAAATAAAAAGCTGTCTAAAAGTTTTTTTTTGTAGAAAAACTGAGATTTAATTTTATTTATTCCTCACGAATACTACAGAATATTTGGACTCTTTATTGAATAAATTTGTTTTAACTACCAAAAGATCTTAAATGCTTGATACTATAGGCATCAGAAGCGCAATTAAGAAGCTTTCTTTAAAGAAGCCGTCCGGGTACTTGAGAAGCATATAATAAAATAGAGATTAGCCTGCGAACTATTGTTGTGGCTGATCTGGAATCCGAATATCCACAACTGACTTGTCATGTAAAATCAGCAACTGATATCACGAGATCCCCTATAGACAAGCTCAATTTTGGACCGAACCGAATCAGCTGATCAAACTCAACTCTGGACCAAACCAAAATAATATCAAGACCAAACTATTATTTAACCGATTCCGGGACGTCGATAATTAGCTCCTCGAGATCCAGTGAAGATATGCGTAAGCTTAAAACTGTTATTTCAGCAGAGCATGCTGAATAATTTAAGCACGACCAGACTTATAAGATAGAAAAGCAAAAGTAAAAGATTTCTGATTTCTCAAGCTCTTGGTGTTGTGTATAGTGAAAACTTCCCTCAACTTTAGTCTGTCTACCATTATGAGAACGTTCAACCTTTGGCTGTCCCTTGTAAACTTAAAGCTTCAAGTATTCCAAAACTGATATCCAAAAACTAAACGGACTAATTACTAGTAATTTAATTAAAGCTACTTTGAGATATACATTTCGTCATCATGGCCGCTGCTAATTTTTTTGTAGTTTCAGGACAGAAACCCATGTGTATATTTAACAATTACTATGACGGTCGCCACTGCTAAGAGTATAGTGTATGGGAAAGTATACATAGTAAGATGGAAGAATTAGGCATCGAGCGGTTTGTCTCGTGTTTTTGATGGGATTAGCTCTCAATCGCCGGGTCACGAGTAAAGTTTCGAGGGAAATCCTAAGAATGTCATGTAATTCATATAAGAGCTCGCTAAGCAATGGTTTGTTGGTTCAATCCATTCGTTTTCTAACTTCTTTGCTTTGACCCATTTCTCGAGTGGAGCATTTTTCTTTTTAGATAGTTCATGGATTAATGTTGATTAGGCGAGATACCACATTTGTCACTTTAAAGCTCAATTTTTTTACAGCTTACGGCATTTTTAAATTAACACCTAATTCCCTCACCACTTCTCAGGCTTCCTCTCCTCCTGTGCTTGGGCTATCGACTGAGCACAGCAAACCCATAGCACAACTTTAAGGGCAATGCTTTATGTATAGGAATTTACGCCTAACATAAACTCACTATTTAACACATTTGAGCGCCTAGCTGACTTCAAAAACCGGTTGACGGTTTATGGTTATGACCTCAGATTGCGAAGCAGCAGACTAACGTAGTCATACGACACGTGCTGTAAGGGAGTCGCTTTATGTATAAGTTTGTATGTTAGGTACTGCTTTTGGCTTGCAGGGAAATAAACTCGCTTTGAAGTGTTGTGTATTGTGGTGTTGTGGTTGGAAGTCACAGCTGTTGGTACATCAAAGTGGCTACGTTGCAGATTTTTAGGCGCAGTGAAGTTGAAGTTGCTACAAACGGTAAAAATTATATATGTACATATGCGTATAAAAGCAACCCCCATTTTCTAAAACTTTTCCGCATAGGCTTGTTTACACTTACCGGAGCCATACCGGAGTTGAGAAATATGTTTGGGTATTCCTTAATGCATTTATGCATACCTTCACATATATGTATGTTATAATGTATACATTTATGCATGTACATATATTGTATATATAGTTCTCAGCCCTCAACTTCGAAATAAAATTAGTCCAAGGGAACGTCAAAGCTTATCTTACGTATTTAGGTATATCTAAAAGCACCTTCACACTCCCAAAAAAATAGAAAAATTTCCTCGAGCATTAAGTAAACACCTCATAACCCCGCATTGCTATAATTAAATGTATTCATGTGTTAAATTTGTTTACATGCGCCCATGTGCACGAATTAGCGCCACCCCTCCGACGCAAGTGAGTCCATACCAAGGATATAACTTCGTTAACTCCAATTTTGACTTTTTCCACGTGTTTTATTTTGCAGCGAACTTTATTACACCTGCTTCGCTTTTCCTTTTTTTTTTTTTGAAAAGAAGTGTTCTCAAATTTTCCAACCGGAAGCACTAAAGGCGTATTAGTTGGTTTCCGCTTACTTTCGCTTACGAAAATAGCAACTGTTGTAGCGCTGACGGCAGGGGCGGTCAGCAATAAAAAATATGCACAATTTTTCGTTTCCTCCCAACAAATTTGTAGGTGTATTTGTATGTATTGATTGTTTTCCTATGGGATTATGCTCTCGGGATGGCTCTGGCTCTAATTTTTTAAGCAATTCCAATATTAAGTGATGTAGTGTGCTTATTTTTTGAGTTGGAGGCATTTTTGTTTGTTTGTAATTAATATAGTTAATACGATCATTTTGTCGTCAGTCTGTGGCTGTGACCTTATAGTTATGCCTGCCACGTCAACGATATTTTGTCAATTGAGTAGACAAACTCCATAAACTTCTATGTTAAAGAACGCAAATAGGAAAATAACATAGTGCGACATTGCCATTTTTTCAAAAGCGCAGGAGGACCCGGTACATATGATAATTTTAACTGGCACTACGGTTCTGACACGAATGTCGAATACTTTATCGGATGTTGCCTTGGCGAGGGTCTAAAATTCAGTTCCAAGAAGCAAGTGATTTTGATGTATCCACACGTTTAAATCTGATTTCCCGAAATAAAATCTGAGTACGAGTAAATGGTCAAGGTAGACCCTTAAATAAAGCGAGATTTAAATATTTGAAATGTTTTAATGTTCAGGAACTTTGCAAGAAGTTGTCTTAACGATTTGTACGTCGAAAGAGTATTTCTTTCGGCTTTTCTTTGGTGGTTTGAAAGCGACTGTTGAAGGAGCTATGGGCGTGAGTGAGTGAGACTTGAGAGACTACTAAGTGTATGTGTATGTGTACTAAACCAGTTAGTACGTGGATCATAAGATAGTTGAAGAATGCTTGAAGTTCGGGTTATATTTTGTTTTTATGTAGATATGTAGATCTAATTTTTTGCCTTACATACATTGCTTGGAAAAAAACAATACCATTGCAACACTTGCATTCAATCAACAATAGATATTATCCCTCGGCATTTCCTGCTAAACCAACGGTTTGCAAATGGAAAAACATCAAAAAAGTTCCCATTTCGTGGCATATTCCCCTGCAACTAGCTGTCTGCACACAATCAAATGCATGTGTGTATATAACTCCACATTTCCATATGTGAATATGTGCTCATAAATTATGGATTATTTACTCACAGCGCGGTGAGCATTGCAGGCAACTCCATCAATTAAAAAAATAAGAAAAGTTGGAAAAAAAAAATTTTTCTGAAAAATTGCACCAGTCAATGACTTTGAAGGGCGCCGAAAGCGACAGCAAGCACAATTCGTCTTCAAATGTGTTGAGAGGACCACAGAAAACAACAACAATATACTAACAATGCACAAGTGTAACAGAAATGCATAGCATCCTACTCTCTTCATCTCTTCTGGAAGAGCGAAGTGCTGGAGGCCAAGTGGCGGCATGCATACCCAACCTATG